AGGCGGATCTCTGATGTACGAGATGCATTGGAATGAACTCCCCCATGGTGGGCTACGTCGTCATGAAGTTCTCGGACTTTAGGAAGGCGGTTCAGCTCCAAAGGATGAGGCGTAACGGAAAGGCCATGATCGAGATATTGATCACGAGGCCCGATATGTACGAGACCATTGGAGATGGAAGGCAGGATGAGGGCCTGATCCCACTTGTGGGAGCCATGGCGCCGAATGCCGAGGTATCGCCTTCGTGGTACGTCAGGGACAGGCTACGAAACTACTCGGGTAGATACGTGGTGGTGATGGTGGACCTTCGGGTGCACTGGTCCTTGGTTGGACCTGTGTTTTTGACGAGGAGGAAGACCCTTGCGGCTCGGAACGAGATCCACATGGGGGCTTGGAAGGCAGCATACATGTACGATGTTTACACGATAGTGTACCATCGGGCATGGGACTACGGCGACTTCACCCCCGTTAGGGGAGAACACAGGCGATCGCGTGAGGAGGTCAGGTTGAATGTGACCACCACGTTCTGTTTGAGGTGCGCGGAGATGACGCCAAATGGGATGCATTTGTGTCCTGGGTGTGCGCTCCCGGTCTTCTACCCGAACTTTATCCCCAACGCGGAGGAGAATGACTTCGAGGGGAGCCGCATCGTCCCGGAGTGGGTGAGGACCATGGGGCAGTTCAAGCCCAAGAGGATCCCCGCCGAAGTGGTCGGAGTCATCAAGAGGAACCTGATTTCCTATTCGATGGCGTCTGACCTGAGGATGACGGTGCAGAGCGGCATCAGACTGCCCCCTTATCTTGGTGAAGACAAGGGAGGAGTTGATACGGCGTGGGATGAGCTGGCGAAGGTGCTCTTCCAGTTCTCCTATGTGTCGGGGATTTCGGCCTCGGATGCGTTCGTGGAGAAGTGGGTGGCGAAGCACCTGATTATGACCAATCAAGTCGATAGATTTGATTCGGTCACGGAGTACTTCCGTGCTAACCCGAGGCATGCTGCTCAGTGGGGTAGGCGCATGACGACTTCCGTTAGGAAGTTCGCCCGTCATGATACGTACTTATCCTTCTACATCCCGATGGCGTATGTGATTGGCCCCGCGGCGGGTCATCTGACTCCGTTGTATCCGACCCATCGGAAGGACGTGGACATCCTGGCCAGCCATGCGTTGATATCGCAGCTCAGGGGGTACATGGTGTCGGCGACCGGATACGATGAGAAGAAGAGATTGAAGGAGGCGATAGCCAAGGTGCAGAAGGCAATCAGTGCCGGGCAGTCGGAGCCTCCCGCTCCCTTCCGTGACCCATTCGTCTACGTTAGTGACGAAAGGGTAAGGACGGTCCTTGATGGTCGTCAACCGGAGCCATTGGACGTGGATATTGAAGGACTTCAATCGGTGCATCATGCTGCGCCGGGTCCTGGTCCCAGGCAGGAGCCGGTCAACAAGGGCGGAAAAGGAAAAGGGAAGAAGGGAGAAAAGGGCGGTAAGGGCGGTAGTCCTTCCGGCCCACCACCGAAGTCGGGTGAAGTGCCAGGTAAAGGATCTGGGAAGGGCGGTAGCCCATCTGTTTCAAAGGCAAAAGCAAAGGATGATGCTGGACCAGCTCCGATGGAGGTTGATGCAGCAGCGGCTCAGCCGAAGAAGACTTGGGTCGCGATAGCGGTTGAAGGGGCCCGGCCGAGTGCAAAGGCTAAAATGACCCCGGTTCCAAAGGCCGAGCCAAAAGGGAAGGCCGCTTCTGTGTCTGAGGCGAAGAATGCTCCGGCTCCGAAGGCTGAGGCTAAGGAGACGAAGCAGGCCGAACCGAGGGTTGAGGTCAAGAAGGAGAAGGTAGGCGGAGACGACGCTCCTGGCGGTAGTCGGGGGTCGGCTGAAGGGCAGAAGAGAGAAAGGAAGTCCCGTTGGGACCCTGACGAGACTGTGAAGGAGTCGACGAAGCGAGAGGCATCGACGAGGCCTGATGACGTTGACAGCAGACCAGGTGCGGCAGCAAGAGAGGCTAGTGGGGATGATCTTCACTCCGCGCTTGGCCGATCTTCGGCAAAGGACGCGGTAGCGCCTTTGACGGCCTCCAAGGCAATGGCAAAGAAGCCTGAAGGCGGTGAGATCAGGTTGCAGTCGGCTGAGCGAACCGCGGCGAGCCCGGTGGAGGGTCACTTCCTGGTGCTGCCTGGGAGTTCGGTGGTGGACGCTATCCTGGCTGTCTCCACCAACAGAGTGCTGAACAAGCAAGTCAGGGATTTCATTAGAAATGGTGAGGACGCGTCAGCACTGGAGGCGGTAAGTGCGTCGCTCCTGAACGCTGGCAAAACCATCGCTTCAGAACGCTGAAACAAAATCGCTTCGGAACGCCGGAAAACGTACTACTCGCTTCGGAACTCTGGAAGTGGAGCCACGTGCCACGCGCAGCACCGAGACACCCCCCCCCACCCCACCCCCCCACCCCCAGAACCAGATGAATTTGCACATTTGAGGATAGAGCTTCAACGGGTGTGCTTATCACGCCCCCCCCCCCCCCGGCCCCACCCCCCACCTTTGGGGAGGTGTGCTTATCATGCCCCCCCCCCACCCCACCCCCCACCCCTAGAACCAGATGAATTTGCACATCTGGGTATAGAGCTTCAGCGGGTGTGCTTATCATGCCCCCCCCCACCCCACCCCCCACCCCCAGAACCAAATGAATTTGCACATTTGGGGATAGAGCTTCACGAAGTGGGTGTGCTTATGCCACCCCCCCCACCCCACCCCCCACTCCCAGAACCAGATGAATTTGCACATTTGGGTGTAGAGCTTCAGCGGGTGTGCTTATCACCCCCCACCCCCCCCAGAACCACTAGATTTTGCACACCTGGGCTGGGACGCCTGCCTGCGTACGGAAGTGATCCTGGGCTGGGACGCCTGCGTTCGGAAGTGATCTTTTTGACTGGCCGGGTTTTGCAACCCTTTCGGCGTTCCGGGTGCTCAGTGTTTTGAAGTGATTTTGTTTTAGTGTTCGGAAGTGATCGAAAGTGGCAGCGTTCACAAGTGATTTTTTTTAGTGTTCTGAAGTGATTGTCTACCCTGGAGGCTCTCAACCAGATCGTGACGAATTCTCGCTCTGCGAGAAGACGTAGGGAATCGGATGTCTCCCGCACTCCTTCTCGGAGGTCCGTTAGGACCGTGGACACCAGGGATTCCAGAGAATCGAGAAGGCGCAGATACCGTCCGCGGCGCGAGGATGATCGCGACCGGAGGAGGGACGATGCTCGTGATCGTCGTGTGATGATTCACTAGATCGGGAGCGAGATCGAAGGCGAGATGATCGCAGGAGATCCGAAAGGGATCGTGACAGAGACCGCGCGCGGGGCGGACGTGGCCGGAGAAGACGTGATGATAGCCGATAGGCTGAGTCACGAGGATTGCAGCCGGTAGGCTTGCGTCCATTCTCCAATGGTCGGCGCGGTGCGGAGGTGGTGATGTTCCTCCCGGACCGCTGAGGCGCGGAGGTCATGTCTCTCCCGTACCGCTGCTGGGCTGCTGGTCGTGTTCATCAGGAAGCAGTGTGAGTGAGGGGGAGAGCAAACTAATGGGGGGTTACTCCCGGGTTTGCGGAATTCAAGCATTTTTCAGGTACGCATGGTCAGGAGTACCTCTTGCCGTTAGGCGAGGGTACTAAATGGACATACGTTATCTTCTTTTCATGGCTTCTGATAAGAATTAAACTTCTTGCATTGTTGATGCAAACAGTTGTGGCCTAGTGCCGTCATGTGGACTCTTCCACAAGGTGTGTTGGACAGCGTTACCCCGATTAATTCGGGGTGGTGGCGGGAATTTAATGCCCGGGATGTCGCGCAACTGCCTTTGTGGGTTTGCTCCACCGCTGACGGCGGTAGTGTCCAGCTGTTTGCGGACACATGCGAGCAGTTAAATCCTATCAGTAAATGGCACGCTCCGCCCGTCATATGACGGACTCCTCGTGAGGGGGGTGTGATTAGCCATGCATTTCAGGTGACTCAGGCATGTTGCGTTAGCAACTATCCGGGTGCCACTTTGGCTCAAGTTTTGGGTTCCGTCGCGCCTCGAATGGGCGTCGCCGAACCCCTGCGTCGACCGACGGCATCTCGGGGGAGAAAGAGACCTCGGGCCGCCGCCAGGTTGGTAGGGACCAGTCGTGCGGCCTGTTGTCGACCAAGGTTGCGGGTTAACCCTTTTCTTGTTTGGTTTGTTTTCCTTTGGTTGTTGTTCTCTGGTGTGTGGGAAACCCTGATCTTTGGGACCGGGGATTGGTTTGCTTTTGGGGAACCTTTCTTTTGTGGCTTGTTTACCCCAACTAACCCATTGCCTGGGCACAGGCTCGTGCCCGAATCACAGGATGTTCACTGGGGGGTGACCGGGCGTTTGACCCATGGCCCATGGCCAATGTGATCACATACCACAAAGAAACCTAGGCAGCCAGTCACGTGGCTGGGCTTTTTGGACCAGCGAAAGATAGATTGCAGTCGACGCAAAGCGTCGATGTCGCATCAACCTTAGGTGGACTCCAATTCAGGTATGGATGTGTACGGGTTTGTTTTTTGACATACGTACCTAGCCTAGGCATGCTGCTTTGCGACCCATCAAAAGTCGATTTTTTTTGAATGACTTCGAAAGATGGAGGGATTGCAAGAACCCATTGTGCCCCTGCATGAGGGATGCTTTAGTACCTTTGCATGTGATGTTTGGCTTGGGCCCCGTGTCCACCATCTTGAAGGACAACTCATGGCAACATCGATTGGGTGTTTGCGAAGGAACCGGTGGTCCAAAGACCTCCCGAGGGTTGGTAGGGATAGTCATGGATGGTTTGGACAGTATCAAGATCTGCCCAGTTATTTGGCGGCGCAATCTCTCCTTTCTTGGTTGGCCGAGAATATTCAACGCCCAAGACGGGTTTTTGCCTTCTCCAGGCGCCCGGAGCGGCTTGTGTTTTTTTTTGCAGGGCTGGGTTCGTACGGAGACACTTTGGGACAAGCGCCTGGCTCCAAGGTCCATGAGTCCGTTCAGAAGTTCATCCCTGAGGCTGGATCGGACATGTGGCCCGGAGGATCGGGGAAGGGAAGCGCGCGCTTGGCGCTTTCCCCCCGCATGGTCGATGATCCGATGTCCGTATCGGGCGCCGCGGAATGCATTTCAACAGGTGTTTTTCTTCTTCGATGTCCGCGTTGTCGTCCGTTGTCCAGTCCATTGGATTTTCGAGTTCGTTTGTTTTTGGTTGTCTTATTTCTATTTGAGTCCTTTTTCTTTGTCGTCATAGGTGCGATTTCGTCATACCCGCTTTCAAAATTTTTGACAGGGCGCCGTTTCCAGAGGACTTTAGTCTGGCAAAAGCCTTCTGTCACCTTCCATGATTGTTGAGAAGATGGCGTACGTTCCTCAATAACCTCCAGTTGCTTTGTCCGGGTTCCCCAAGAAATACACAGCAACCGAGATCCATGCTAAACCCATCCGTAGTTCAGCCAAATGTTCTGTTTGGGTTCCCCCCAAAAAATAAAATAAAATTGAAAAAGTAGGGGCCTGGGGGGTGGCCTGTTGATGGTTGCCTGTTATGCTTTTTATTTGTTTCAATCCTATTATCCACCTTATCCGTTTTTAATATAGGGTTTTTGGGGAGACTATTTATCGGTTTCGTTAAGGTGGTCATTTGGGTAAATTCTCGCCTTGTTCATTGTTGGGATGGGGGCTGACATTTTTTTCATTTGAAAGAGTTAGCCCTTTTAGTAGTTATTATGTCTGGGGTGTTGTGATGCTCTTTGTTTCGATGTTTTAGTCTTATCTCCTCCTCTTCGTTGGTCTCGAACTTCATCGGCAACGACTTCTTCGTGTGTCATGCCCGGGCTCCTGGAGTGAAAGCGGTGATCGTAATTATTTGCAGTGATCGGGCTCTTTCTAAAAGGTTAATATATAAAAACCAATGCGGTTCATCAGTGGCGGTCTCATATATTTTGTAAATTAGTTTATTGCTTTCGTGTAAATTATCGCTTCTAGCAATTGCTGATAATTCATCTTGCATTTTTTCATTTTCTTTGAAGTTTCTTTTTTTATAAAACAAATGACTTATATTTACTCTAATAATTGGTGGCACGGTTTGTGATTTTTGAAGACTTACAAGCGTTGATATTCCACTATGACGACCTCTACAAAACACAGAATTTAGCAATTTGTTATTTCTTGTTATTGCTGGATTATCAGACACATCATCCAATATAACTAATATATTAAATTACTGCTTCATTCCTTGTTTTTTTTTTTTTTTTCTGATATTCAATTATTTTATTTGAGTTTCTATAACTCTTTCTACATCTACAACATTGAGCTAATCCCACCAACACGATTCTTTATCAGTATCTACATTCAAACCTTCTTCAATGTATTTCTTCACTGGCAACCAAATACTATCCAAATTTACAGATGGAGACCAGATAAAAACTCTTTCGAATGCTCCTCTGCAAATACCAGAACCTGACGGGCCTACAATCATCGCTCGCATCGGCAATATAGGGACGACCTCGTGCTTACTTTGTTTAAAGTCATATTTGATTTCACCAATTGGTTTTACATCAGGCATAACAAAGTAATATTATAAATACTTAGAAACAATATATTAAGCATTGAATGGAACATTTTTTTTTATGATATGCTGGTAGTGAATAAATATCATAAAATGGAACAGGTTTCCATTGCTTCAATCATAAGCATTGAAGATAATTAGTTTGATACATTTTGAAGAAAACCCCATTGCTGAGCCCCGAATATTCTATCATGCATGACATAATAGTATGAAGTTATACTATTTTTTCTAATTATTAATATGACTATTGTACGTTGCAGTTGTGGTAAAACTTATGATGACAAATATTTATTTAAATATGTAAGTTCAAAACATCATCATACTAATGTGGAAAGTAGATGGAATAAAGACGGTACAATGAAAAAAACTTAATAAGAAAAGAAACAAAGACATGAACAATAATTTGTTTGATTATATAATATGGATAAGACTTATTCATACTATATTGATATAATAGATGAAGTAGAGAAAGTAGAGCAAGTTGTAATAACTGACAATAAAATTAAAGAAATGTTGTTATTATTCATTAGAACTAACTAAGTTAGGAATACAATTTATCAAAAATAAAAATGTAAATGTTAATATAAATGGGAAGGATTAAGTGTTTCTTCAACGGATGAAGACAGTGAAGAAGTTATTAATCAAACAGCAGTTATTGAGTTTGCTTGTCCGATGTGTAACCAGATGTTAGAGATTAAGAATGAATTAGAAATACAAAGGAAAGGAAAATGCTCGTGTATTCCAACAAGTTTCCAAACAAGTAAAAATGATAAGAAACATAATATTGATAAAACTAAAGACAGCATCAACTTAGAAACAGGCGTTCATAATATTGCTATACGCTTTGGGAGAAATGTCACCCCATCTAACAATGATGATAACGAAGCACAGGAAACTATACGTGAAATGATGAAAACATACTATATAAAGAGTAGATTTAACATAATTTAAACATTCAGTTTTAAACGTTTTCATTTTATAATGTAGTATATATGGAGGAACATTGGCAGTAGTTTGGAGTTGTTGTTTCCAAGATTAGAAAAAGTGTTGGAACAAAATGAAAACATACTGAAAATCTCAAAGAGCATGAATACTAAACCTACATATCATAACAATTACAATTATTAAGAAAAGAAGTAGATAGAGACAGTAGCGAAAACATAAATAAACGAAACATTTATGTTAAACAACTTAATGAACAAGTCATAAAATAACCTAAACAATCAAGTCTGGATTGCTACCAAGTTAAGTATATCGAACATGTTTAATCATCAACTAACAAAATTTTGTGTCTCAAACGCGGTTTGTTTATTCCTGCTACTTTGTACGTTTTATTACCCATAATATCATATTCAATTTTATCAACATTGAATATTTTATTAGACCATTTAGAGTTATACTCCTTTCTGTCGGTGTACTTACCCCTTTTCTTTTGAAACACTTTTACCTTATCGTTCTCCTCTATTCTGGGATACTTTCTTTTGTTCTTTTCTCGTAGTTTAAGATTGGCCTTTGCATTTATTTGGTTGTTGTCCTTGTGTGCTTCGGTCGGCGTCATCCTTGTTAATGAGTGTAATGTGCTGTTATACTGTTTCAATGCCTGTCTTAAGGCATCGGTCCATTTCATGTTGTCAAACCTAACTCTATCGTGGATTTTGTTTTGTATTGTCCTAATAAAGTGCCGGGCTACATTTGCGTGGGTCTTCGTGACAATGTGGTTTATTCCCTCGCTGTTGAAGAAATCCTGAACTTGGTTTTTGGTAGCAAACGCTCCATCATCATCAGGATACACAGACATAGGATAACCCATCTTTTTAAAACTTGCTCTCAATGCTTTCTCAACACTTTCACCATCTCTATTGAACATAGGTACTACATCCGCTAATTTATTGAAAATTACAACTAGAGCAAACTCTGGTGGGTCTTTATCCTTAACAAGCTGTGTCATGTGCATTATGTCTATTTGATATTCACATCTGGCAAACGGTGCGGTTTAGGAATTAGTGCCTCTGTAGGTCTTGTTTTGTTTATTGGGTTGTTTCTTCAAAAAAAAAACTTAACATCCTCTAATGTTATGGTTGCGTCTTCTTCCTTTGCCTTCTTGTGTGTCGCTTCTGTGCTTCCGAAACCCTCGTCTAAGTTACAATAGATGTTGCTGATTAATTGAGATGATGATGTTGTAGATAATGTAACCATAGATAATATAGCTGATGTAATGAGAGCGGCGCATCAAAAATATACAGTTGTATGGATGATGAAAGAAGTAGACATAGTTTTGAAGGTGTAAAAAGCATAAGGTTTAAACTAATTGTTGATGAACCTGTGTAATTCAAAACTAACCATAATTATAACATTTATATTCTTATATGTTATAATTATAGCGAACTTGTAACCTATAAAAGAAAGTTAGTGAGAAAAACGATGTCAACACAAATCCACCACCAACACCCCAGAACATGATAACTACTAAAAGGGCTATTTTTTTTGAATTGAAAAAAATGTCAGCCCCCATCCCAACAATGAACAAGGCGAGAATTTACCCAAATGACCACCTTAACGAAAACGATACATAGTCTCCCCAAAAACCCTATATTAAAAGCAAATAAAGTGGATACTAGGTTTGAAACAAATAAAAAGCATAACAGGCAACCATCAACAGGCCACCCCCCAGGCCCCCTACTTTTTTTTTCCCCTACCCATACCCGAACATTTCTTGATTTGTCTTCTTTAGCTGCCGTCGCACAATTCAAGCAGGAGGGTTCTCGAGTTTGGTCATTCCGGTCTCACGACGTGCGAAAACGGGGGGCGGTTTTCCCTTCCGGCGTCATTTTATCCGCTGAAGGCGAAAACAACCAACCGCAAGGAACAAACGCCAGTCATTGTTCCCAGGTGAACATGGGGCCACCAAAACCAGCAGGGGGAAAAACAAAACCCACGCGGGGGACAAAAACACAAAAACACAAAACAACAAACAAACAAAAAGCAAACAAACATCAAACACACCCCGAGTTGGCGCGCTTTGGGTCCCGGCTTCGGTGATTTTTTTCGGCAGGTGACTTTGGAGCAGGTCCTGGAGGCCTTGGACAAAGGCTCCCACCCGGGAGGGGAGGGCCGCTTCTGGGTGCTGGACCCAATAGACGGCACCAAGGGCTTCCTGCGGAAGGAGCGACGGGTTCGATGGCTTAGACGGTAAAGACGAGGAGAGAAATGCAGGCGCCGACTTTTTTCTTTGAAGTTCTTCCAACTAAAGGCTATGCCCTTGCCCAGATAAGATCAGCCATCAGAGTGAGCTGCCGGAGGGCGGACGCTGGGCGGATGCTGGTTCTTGCTGGTCAAGGAGATTGAGGGTTCCATGAAGCGGTTCCTTGGGCTTGTGAATCGTTCTAGGTTCTTTCACTGAAGCTCATGATCATGCAGCAACCAGTCGCCTCTCTCAACAGTGACCCCCTCAGCCGCTGCGGATGGGATGACCCCCTTGGCGCTCTCCGCCCTGGCACCAGCTCTTGCCTGACTTGCGCGCCATTTCGGGTTTTATTACAGCGTTGGGGAAACTAGTGCTGCGGTGCCCGGCGTTGGGTTTGGCAGCGCTCGCTCTGCGCGATGTGTTTCGGACTGGCAGGTCTGGGTGCACGCGCTGTCATTGAAACTCATGATCACGCAGCAACCTCTTGCCTCCAGTCGCCTCTTCGCTCCCCTCCCGCCGCCCTATCTCCCAATGCCGCGGCCGGGGTGATTGCCGTTGTGGCCTTGTCACTTCTTCGTGACTCGTGTTGGCACGTTGTTGATTGTTGAACAACCCCAACTCTTCGTGCTCCAGCTTGCCACTCCGGGGTTGTTGGCAGCACTCACTCTACGTAAGCGCTCCAAGCAAGCATTGCGTGCCGCTGTCCTCCAACGCTGCATTTTTCGTTGGATGCTTTGAGTCTGAGCAGCGACTCAAAAGGCTTTGATGCGATGCATGTTGGTTACAGCGAAGTTGTCAACCGTAAAACATCAAATCGATGTTGATGTAATTACTGGTTCAAGTTACAACTCTTTTAGCTGCAAGAGGCAGTTCATCAGCAAGGGAGCAGGCAGCAGGCAAGCAAGTAAGCAGGTAAGGAGGCAAGCAAGAAAGCAAGAGCAAGCAAGAGCAGGCAAGAGCCAGCAAGAGTAGGTAAGAGCAGGCAAGAGCAGGCAAGAGCAAGCAAGAGCAGACAAGAGCACGCAAGCACGGGCAAGCGCGAGCAAGCAGGCAAGAGCAGGCGAGCAAGGGCGAGCAAGAGCAGGCAGGAGCAGGCAAGCAAGAGCAGGCAATAGCAGGCAAATGCAAGCAAGAGCAGGCAAACGCAAGCAAGAGCAGGCAAGCAAGAGCAAGCAAGAGCAGGCAAGAGCAAGCAAGAGCAAGCAGGAGCAGGCAAGAGCCAGCAAGAGCCAGCAAGAGCTAGCAAGAGCAAGCAAAAACAAACAAGAGCAAGCAAGAGCAAGCAAGAGCAAGCAAGCAAGCAAGCAAGAGCAAGCAAGCAAGAGCAAGCAAGCAAGAGAGAGCAAGCGAGCGAGCGAGCGAGCGAGCAAGAAAGCCAGCCAGCAAGCAAGCAAGCAGAGAAACAGATGCATCAAGGAGCAAACGAGGGTGATGGGCTCAATTGCGCAAGGACCAATTTGCGGTCTGCCTTTGCATGATCGACAACGGGAAGGTCCTGGTGGCAGCCTTGGGGTGCCCAAGCCTTCCGGCAACTTGCCCCCAAGCCTGGTAACTGTATCGGTGTTATCCATGACCTGAAGAAATACATGGACGCACACGCGATATGCATGTATATTTATATGCATGTGACTTGTAAATTATCACATCAGGCATATGTATACGTATACGTATATGCGCACTGAAATTGGAGCTCTTGCAGAAGTCTGAGGCTCTGATGTACGTTGCATCTTGGTGTGTGTATACATGTTTGTCTGGTTGCCGGTGTATAAATTCACATTCGCTCCTGAGATAGCTATTTGTGTACACTTGTCTACCAGTTTTTCTATCTCATCTATGAACTTGTTGATGTTTACGTGTTCCTGACATTCTTGTATGGGGCTCGTACTTTTTGATGTGGTTGTCCGCGTCGCTCCCTCCTTCTTCTTCTTCTTCTCCTCCCTACTCTTCTTGTCTTGCTCACTCATCTTACACATGCCCCATAGAAGTGCTATCTTATGCATGCTTTCTTTCACTCACTCACTCACCTTACACTCACTGACTTACACACACTTCCTCTCACTCACTCAACACTTACACTCGCTGACATTCAGCCGCTCTAACTCGCGCTCACGTGATAGGGCGCCTGAGCCACAATCAAAACCCGGGTAGATGGAGGTTAGCAAGGGGTACTTCCAGCCATAACCTTTTTAGTTCTTTACATGGTTCTGGGTAGACCGTTTTAATTCATTCATTCATTCATTCATTCATTCATTCATTCATTCATTCATTCATTCATTCATTCATTCATTCATTCATTCATTCATTCAATCAATCAATCAATCCTTCGTTCGTTCGTTCGTTCGTTCGTTCGTTTGTTTGTTTGTTTGTTTGTTCGTTCGTTCGTTCGTTCGTTCGTTCATTCATTCATTCAATCAATCATTCATTCATTCATTCAATCAATCATTCATTCATTCGTTCGTTTGTTCGTTTGTTCGTTCGTTCGTTCGTTCGTTCATTTCTTCATTCCTTCCTTCCTTCTTTCCTTCATTCATTCATGCATTCACTCATTCATTCATTCATTCATTCATTCATTCATTCGTTCGTTCGTTCGTTCGTTCGTTCGTTCGTTCGTTCACTCATTCACCAATTATATCATTCGTTCGTTCGTTCGTTCGTTCGTTCGTTCATTCATTCAGCAAAAAAATAATTCATTCATTCATTCATTCATTCATTCATTCATTCATTCATTCATTCATTCATTCATTCATTCATTCATTCATTCATTCATTCATTCATTCATTCATTCATTCATTCATTCATTCATTCATTCATTCATTCATTCATTCATTCATTCATTCATTCATTCATTCATTCATTCATTCATTCATTCATTCATTCATTCATTCATTCATTCATTCATTCATTCATTCATTCATTCATTCATTCATTCATTCATTCATTCATTCATTCATTCATTCATTCATTCATTCATTCATTCATTCATTCATTCATTCATTCATTCATTCATTCATTCATTCATTCATTCATTCATTCATTCATTCATTCATTCATTCATTCATTCATTCATTCATTCATTCATTCATTCATTCATTCATTCATTCATTCATTCATCATTCATTCATTCATTCATTCATTCATTCATTCATTCATTCATTCATTCATTCATTCATTCATTCATTCATTCATTCATTCATTCATTCATTCATTCATTCATTCATTCATTCATTCATTCATTCATTCATTCATTCATTCATTCATTCATTCATTCATTCATTCATTCATTCATTCATTCATTCATTCATTCATTCATTCATTCATTCATTCATTCATTCATTCATTCATTCATTCATTCATTCATTCATTCATTCATTCATTCATTCATTCATTCATTCATTCATTCATTCATTCATTCATTCATTCATTCATTCATTCATTCATTCATTCATTCATTCATTCATTCATTCATTCATTCATTCATTCATTCATTCATTCATTCATTCATTCATTCATTCATTCATTCATTCATTCATTCATTCATTCATTCATTCATTCATTCATCATTCATTCAATCAATCATTCATTCATTCATTCATTCATTCATTCATTCATTCATTCATTCATTCATTCATTCATTCATTCATTCATTCATTCATTCATTCATTCATTCATTCATGCATTCATTCATTCATTCATTCGTTCCTTCATTCGTTCCTTCATTCGTTCCTTCATTCGGGGCTTAGTTCGTTCATTCGTTTTTGCTTTCATCCGTTCATTCGTTCATTCGTTTATTCGTTCATTCCTTGATTCAAGCATTCATGCACTCATGCGCCCGGCTCACTCATTCATTCGTTCAGTCATTCATTTGTTCACTCAGTGCCATCACTTCATTCATTCCATTCCATTCCATTCCATTCCATTCCATTCACTCCACTCCATTCCGTTCCATTCCATTCCATCCGTCCTTGCTTCTTTTTCATTCCTTCCTTCCTTCCTTCCTTCCTTCCTTCCTTCCTTCCTTCCTTCCTTCCTTCCTTCCTTCCTTCCTTCCTTCCTTCCTTCCTTCCTTCCTTCCTTCCTTCCTTCCTTCCTTCCTTCCTTCCTTTTCTCCTTCCTTCCTTCCTTCCTTCCTTCCTTCCTTCCTTCCTTCCTTCCTTCCTTCCTTCCTTCCTTCCTTCCTTCCTTCCTTCCTTCCTTCCTTCTTTCATCTAAAGCTGTGTTTATTCTTCTGTAACTATATAAATATACATATAAATGTTTTGATGACTCGTTACCCTCAATTCTTCCGGCCTAGAATCCTATTGATCATACTGTTCTTCCAAGCCCCTTCAGAGACCCCCAGAGGCACTCAAAAATAGGGTAACCCCAAATCGCTTGCCCTGGCAAATGGAAACATGGACGAAAACCTGCGGTCCAATCCCTGGTGGTTAATTTTTGACCCTATATTTATATGAGGCTTGATCCAGATTCCCAGAAAGCTAGAATCCTGTTGCTCAATACGGGGGGCTGTTGAGCCCCAAGCCTTTTCAGGTCGACCCCCGGAACCTCTCGCTTCCGAGGTCGACCCCCCGCCGGCCGAGCTGGGCTGCGTCTTCCTCGCCGCCCGAGGTCAGGGCGCCACCCAACTGGACCTCGCCTCGGGCCGGGAGAGGGCCATCCACGTGTCGGAGGCTTGGGCCCGTCGGAACCGGGACCCCTCGCTTGGGCTCGCGCGGGGTTCAAGTTTGGGAGTTGTTTCTTTGGCGCATTTGGCCAAGGGATGTTGGGACTTCATAACTTTTTGGTCCAACGAATGGGTTTTCCGTATTAATCCACGAGAAGTTGAACACTTTGAGCAGGGGAGCAGAAAGCAAACGAGGTTTGCTACATGTGGGTTTCAATTTTGGGACTCAGAACCCCATCAAAATGAAGGTTTTCCTTGTGGTTTTCGTCGGAAAGGAACGTGTGGGTTTCAAGATAGGACTCAAAAAGCCAATCAAAATGATGAGTTTCCCTTTGGCTTCCGACAAAAACCATCCTGGTTAGGAATCGGAACCCCATCAAAATGATCGAGGTTTTCCTTGTGGTTCCCGACAGACACCAACCAAAAGGGGGTTCCGAAAAAGAGACGCATGTGGCGATCGATGCTTAGGGATCACCGAACTGGCAACGGAGAAGGCATTGGAGAGCCATGTTGAAGCCACTGTTCGCTTGTCCCAAGACCTGGCCCTTCCAAGCTGGTTCCCCTTTGCCCCGCTTGGTCTTGCGGAATGAGCAAACACCTGGGAAAAGGCATCCCCACAGGATTCCCTTCAGAAGTCGCCCCAAAGATATGGGGCTTGATCCATATTCCCAGCAAGGCCGCCAAATCATGGGCTTAATTTGTTCCATGTGGTTGAACCATCATATTTTAGTGTTCTCCCACAATGGGCATCCTAAAGGACCTTTTTTTGATCAACCCCATATGAAGATTGTTGGGACCCGGCTTCACCTCAAACCCCCCCCATCGAATCCGAAGAGTGTGTCGATCTTGGAGCTCCAAAGGCGGCTCCATTGAAAGCCACCGGCAAAATGCGACTCTTCTTTTGAGCCACCGGCAAAATGCGACTCTTTTGGGTGACCTGGGTTGAAGACGCCGGGTTGCTCTTTTGCCGGACCTAGGCTGTGGATCCCAGCAGCTGCTCCTATGTGGAGTCCATGGAATCGGGGCACTCCTCCCACGGCGCCCACGCGCGCATCGCGGGCAGGCTTCACATGCTGCCCCCCATCCGCGCCGCGCATGGATTTTTCATTCCTTTTGTTTTTTTTGGGGGGGTTTTTGGAGTTTTGGGTTCTTGAAACCATTTTGGCGGTGTACCACCCATTTTAGGACCTAGATGAATTTCCTCACGGGGCCGTCTGTCAGGCGCCATGTTCTTGGGGAGGGCATATACTGTGGATGGACGAAATCTTCTTAGGCACCACCTCAGAAACCCGGGTTTCTGATTTGATTCCCCAACGCAAATACCAACAAAGAATGGCTGCCCATGGTTTCAAAGTGGTGCTAAATGGATTTCGTCCATCCACAGTATTTTCGCTGGCTTGGGTGGCTTAAGGTGGGCTTGGGCCGGGTTTGGGGGTGGGCTTAGGGTTGAAATTGGGTTAGGATGGAGACGCTTAGGTGGCAGCTGCATGGCAAAAGACCCCGGGTTGAGGTTCTTCTCGGAAACCTGGAAACACAGTCTTGTAACAAAGCAATAAGAACAATGGTCAACAGCACATCTGGAAGACTCCCAAAGATCGAGTTTAGCCGGGAAGCTTTTGTTTTGTAATCATTTCAGATGCCAGAATTGGCACGTAGCTGCGGGTTTTACCCAAACTTGTGGATGTTGGATTTGGTGTGCGAACTCGCGATTGAATTCGCCCGCGGCGGGGGATAGCACAATTTCTCAGCTTCTTGGCCCTTGTGGCTTCTGGCTCAATAATCCCTCCGTCCGTGCGGAGAGCTTGAGAAACCGCGCAAAAATCCTGCGCCAAGGGGGGATCGTTTTTGGGTATCCTCGCGAGCCGTTTTTTTTTGGACCGCGTCGACCCAAGCCTCTGTTTTTATGGACGCAGGTCGTTTTTTGGGTATCCTCGCGAGCCGTTTTTTTTTGGACCGCGTCGACCCAAGCCTCTGTGTTTATGGACGCAGGTCGTTTTTTGGGTATCCTCGCGAGCCGTTTTTTTTTGGACCGCGTCGACCCAAGCCGCTGTTTTTATGGACGCAGGTCGTTTGTTTGGTATCCTCGCGAGCCGTTTTTTTTTTTTTTGACCGCGTCAACCTAAGCCGCTGTTTTTATGGACGCAGGTCGTTTTTTGGGTATCTTCGCGAGCCGTTTTTTGTTTTCTTTTGACCGCGTCAACCCAAGCCGCTGTTTTTATGGACGCAGGCTTTTTTTTGGGTATCCTCGCGAGGCGTTTTTTGTTTTCTTTTGACCGCGCCAACCCAAGCCGCTGTTTTTATGGACGCAGTTCGTTTTTTGGGGTATCCTCGCGAGCCGTTTTTTGTTTTTTCTGACCGCGTCATCCCAAGCCGCTCTTTTTATCCCAAGCTGCTGTTTTTATGGACGCAGGTCGTTTTTTGCGAGCCGTTTTTTGTTTTTTTTTGACCGCGTCAACCCAAGCCGCTGTTTTTATGGACGCAGGTCGTTTTTTTGGTATCCTCGCGAGCCGTTTTTTTTTTTTTGACCGCGCCAACCCAAGCCGCTGTTTTTATGGACGCAGGTCGTTTTTTGGGTATCCTCGCGAGTTTTTTTTTTTTGGTTTTGACCGCGTCAACCCAAGCCGCTGTTTTTATGGACGCAGTTCGTTTTTTTGGGTATCCTCTGGAGCCGATATTTTTTCCTCCTTCTTATTTTTTTCCTTTGTTTTTCTTTCTTTTTTTTCCGGCGCCAACCCACCCGCTGTTTTCCCATGGATGAGTTCGCAGCGCTTGGGTTTTCGAGGCATGGACAGCCAGTGCAAGTTCGGCGTGGTGGCGCGGGGCCAGGCCAGCCTCTACCTGAGGTGCTCAGACCGGGACCAGCAGATCTGGGACATCGCCGCCGGCGCGATGATCGTGGAGGAAGCCGGCGGCAAGGCGACGGAGGGTCGTGATGGATATTTGTGGACCCCATATGAATCAACCCCTGTTGATTCATATGGTTATGGGGGCTGGGGGAGGGAGGGGAGGCGGGGGGAGCCCAAATAAGCCCTAAATAGGGCCTTAATAAGGGCTAAGTAAGGGTTTTTGTTGGGCTCCCTCCCCCTCCCCTCCCTCCCCGCCCCCCAGCCCCCATGATATGGGTGTGTTTCTGGGTTTAGTGGGGAATCACTGTTGGAGGGGAACACCCCAGTAATAAACAGGGGTTGATCAATATGGCGTCAACATTACCCATGAATTGTTTCATAGGGCCTTTCCCCGTCCAAAATGGTTGGGCACAACTCCCCTGTGCAGATGTTGTCCGACAAAGGGCCCCTAACTCTTTATAAAAATCGGACCCCCCATCTTGTTTTTGAGGCAGAGGTGACAAGGAAGTCCGAGCTTGGCCGAAGTTCGGAGAAGGCCCTCAGCAACTTGGCAGGTCACCGACTTACAGGGCCGGCCCCTGTGCTTCTCCCGGGGCCGCACGGTGGGCTCTGCGGCCGTCTTCGCGTCCAACGGACGCATACACCAAGCGGTGGTCGAGGCCGCGACCGAGGCCGCGACCGAGTGATGGAGAAAAAACCCTCCGCCGGATTCCAGGGTGTGCAACCCGGTGTCGCCTCCGAATTCAACTTGCAACAATTTTCACGAGGAGCCCCAAGGAGGGTCCTAACCGGGAGGTCATTGGAACTGGGGTTCCTGGCTTTGCAGGACACCAGTCCAGGGGCTTGAGACCTGGCAGGCTTGAGCTGACGTCGGCCTCGCAGCATTTCTTTCTCGCAAGATCGTGCGTCCAGGGCCAAAACCATCTTGCAGCAGGGCAGTGCGCGGGGGAAAAACATTAACATAGGCGTCCTTTTTGGTTGTGTTGGTAGAAAAATAGATGGCGATTCCTGGTTTACCTGGTGGTTTCGCTTTAATCATCTACAGGGCCATCTATTTCCCCTAAATGGACGCCTATGTTAACGGCGTGTCACCTCAGGATCTTTTGCATCGTCTCCATGAACTGCTCATCAGGCTTGCTGTGTTCTTATTTTGTTGCTTGGTGTCACGAGGGAATAATTCATTTTGGGATTGTCTGAAGACTAGCCGAGGTCTGTCAGCAATTGTTTGCATACTTTGTTTTTACAGAACATGAGCTCGGAGAACAACGACCTTCTACATATCTTGCAGGTAGCATCATAGCTGGGGGAACGGCCCGAGCTACTCAGGCAAACTCATTTCTGGCAAGCTGGACGTTCAGGTCTGAACAAGGTCCGGGAAGTAAGCAGGATATCATATTTGACTGCGCTCGTTTGACATTTCTCGGGTTTGGGGACCACAGCCGGATTTTCGATCAGCACTGCCGATGGGACCTCTGGCTTCGGGGTTTCCAACTCCAGCACCCTTTCAGCTTCCTTCAGCATCTTTCAGCACGGCTTTTTGGAGTTGCCGGATGTCTTTGGTCATAAGCCCAACATGAAGGCCTCCGCCCTGCCCTGACAAAAAATCGAATTCGCCAGCCTCAGTTTCGAGTGCTCCAGTTCGTGTCAGCACCGGTACGCACTTTCTTTCTTTGTGAGGGAAAATGATATCCAAAGTGTGGTTCTTGCCATCTCTTGTTTCAGGTAGTGGAATTACATTTGGTTTGCAAGAATTGTTGGGTGGCAGTCATATGTTTCGCGGTGTCAACCAGGAGCAAGCCTTAGACAGGCTATGCTAAGCCTGGGTTGGCAGGCGCATGTCTGACGCCCGCATGAAAGGATTGGTCTTGCGCTGTGTGGAAAGCTCCCGCAGAATGTTGACCCCGGATCAAGACACCCCTCCATGACTAGTGGTGTTCCCTCGCCACTAAAAGGTGGTCTTTACCCACCCGCATGTCCTGCCCCTGCACACCCGCTCACGCTCACGCGCATCACATCAGGCACGCACGCCGGCAAGTGATAAGCACAGCCGCTCACGCGCATCACGTCAGCGCTGCACGCATGCTGGCAAAATGATCAGCACAGCCGCTCACGCGCATCACGTCAGAGCATTCACGCTGGCACACGATAAGCCCACCGGCTAACTGCTATGTGTGCTGAGATTCGACCGGCCTGAGTTAGTCACCGAGACTGCAGCGCTTGCAGCCTGGCGAGTCTCGAGTTCCTCGGGTTCCGGGTGAGCGGAGCTCACCTCGATTCAGCGGCACATGGCCTTCCTATATTTTACCTCAGATGCCCATGCGTACTTGTCAAACTGCCTGAGAATGGACGCACGGGCTCCGAGGGCATGCAAACAAAAGCACGGGTGGGGCTATGTGCCCGGCGCGCACTAAAAGGGGACACCCCTAGGGGTTTTATTTTTATTTTTATCCTTAGTTCCATTACACCCTGCTTGGCACTCTTAGAAAGGCCACGCAAAGCTTTAAATGGGGCCTAAGAAAGATGCTGTCAACAACATGGACCCTTTGTGGCATCTACTGCCTTTTCAGAGGACACCAAAAAGGGCCCCTACTTTTGGCAAACCTTCACGGCGCAAAGACCAGATTTCACTGTGCGAAGCTTTCAGAAGTTTTGCAGTGGCCTCGCCATATGAGATCGGCAAGTGACCATTCTCCGCCACAGACGAAGTGGTCGAGAAAAGCGTGCGAGCGTCAAGGACTGGGGGCTGCAAATCACCCGGGTCTAATTTCCTCGAGGAATCGAGAGGGAATGCTTTTTCGATTTGATCCAGACCCTTTTCAAGCCAAGATCCGGTAAGCTTCCCTTCGGATCAAATCATGATGACGAGAGTGTCGTTGGAATGGAATCACACGAGGGGAATTCTGAAAGCAACCTGAGGGTTGTTTGAGTTTTTGAGGTGTGGGGTGGGGAGTGGGGGGGTGGGGGGAGTCTCTTGTGCTTGCTACACTGGGTTTCGTAGTGGGTTCATTTTCAATCAATCAAGAGTTCTGTCAAGCACAGCCCCTTCTCTTCTCACCCCAAACCAGTCTTGCAGCTCAACGCATCCTCTGACGCAACTCTTTTTTGGTCGGTCTGCTGAAATTCCCAGGTTTCTCTCCCCATCAGAAAGCCCAGTCGTTGAAATCCCGAGGTTTCTTTCCCATATATACTGCATATATATATATATATACATATATAAACAAACAACAACAACACCGCCTGTGTTGTTCCCTCGGGCAAGTTCCTCGCCTCGCTTGCCGGAGGCCGCAAGGCATGCCTTTGGCGGGCGCGGGACCTCGGACCTCAAGCGGACGGACCAATGGCGTCGGGGGAGTTTCAGGCATCTGCGCCGGAGCTTGGGATGCATGCCCAAGAACATGATGCGGACAGACGGCGTGAGGAAATTGATCCAGGTGCCGAAACCCCCATTTTTTGGGAGGGCTACACTGAATTTGATTCGGGGGCTTTGATGTCCCATTCAAGGGGGATCCGGGCCACTTTTTTGAGAGAGGCCCATTTTGGACTCTACATTCATCAGGGGGAAAAATTAAGACATATCTTTCCTACAGCGGAGTCTCTTGCGCCTGCGCCTCTTACCCCCAGTGCCCCTCACAGCACCGCGAGCAACTCATGCTTCCTTCTGGCACTGGGAGGTAGAACAGAACACTATACAAAAAAGAACACGATGAACCACGAAATGGCTATGAATTGTATTGGGGAGCCCCTGAAACGTGGTTGGTGGGCACAACTCCCCAGCTACATGATGTCCACCATTTCGGGTTCCCAAATTAAAATTCATACGGGTGTGGGTCAAAATTAAGCCACCAGGAATTCGACCGCAGGTTTTAGTCTTTGGTTCCATCTACCAGGGCAAGCCATTTTGAGGTTACCCTATATTTTTGACCCACAGCCGAAGGTAAAACAAACAAGAACACGACTTCGTGGCCGCCGATGCGCATCGGCTTGCCTGGTCCTTCCAGGCCTGATCTCCATGCCTCGCTGGCTGTCGCATCGCTGCGCCAGGCCGGGAGGGGGGGAGGAAGTTAATTGCCAAATGCGCCGAGGGGACCCCGTTTTTTTGGTGGTTTCCGTAGATTCTCTTGAAACCACCCTACAAGGGGAACCTTCGGGAAAAGGAAGCGGCAAAGGTGAGGAAGACACCTCGCTGGCCAGGAACACCGGAAGATACCTCAATGCGAACGAGTCCGTGTCGGGCTCCTGCGAGCTTTGCGGCCGGGCCGCCTGCTCGCGCGCGCGCGAGAGATGGGCAAGGGCGAGATGTGTCCAGTGTTGAGATGATGGATTTGCCGGCCAGTTTCTGGTTTGCCTCGGTTGAAAGCTATTGTGTTTGTTTGGCGTTGCCTCTTCCCGCCAGACTAAGCTTTGTGCAGCTAAGCTTTGCAGTATGTGCCCCTACCAGCCTAGACTGGTGGTCTGCTGCCGGCCCAATCTCACATGGGTGAATGGGAGAGCGCCTTGCTGATTCAATGGGTGTTGTTGTGGCCTAGTACCACTGAGCGTTCAGTGGGAAGCATCAATAGGGCCGCCTTGTCGCGTTGTCTTGCCCTTATGCCGGCCAAACTTGGACAGTCTGCGTCCTTGATTTGCGCGGGTGGAGAGTGCATCGTTGCCCCCGCGCACCACATTCTGGCAGAGGGGCGCTGGTATGTTGACCTCCTGGACTCATCCCAACGACGCTTGTGGGTGGCTGATGACACTGGCGGGAGGTGCTGTCACGTTGATCCATCCGTCCGTCGGTCCGTCCGTCCGTCCGCCTTCTTCGGCATCACCACACAGCGATCTTCGCATGTCAAAACTGGATGTTGCAACCACATCGCTCGAATTCTCCGATGCGAAACTCGCCAAACAGAGACGGGTTCACGCCGTGCCATCTATGGGCCAGCGCTCGTATCAACGCCCCTATCAAATCTGGCTGCAAGATGGGCGTTTCAAAGCACACCTTTCCGGAGACCTACCACTTTCCGAGGCCTCAGTCCTGGAAGCGAAGGGCAATTTTGGGAGACTAGCATCACATGAAGACATGATCGCAGGTTTGGACTGGGACCTCACGGTGCATCACCTGGTGCCCAAGTTGCACTGGAGGCTGGGAGCCCCGAGCTACTGACATGGCGCGCGCGCGCGCCTTTGGTGCGCGCGGTTTTGGAGCTTTGTTTAGAGGAACCGTGCGCTTGGAGTTCGCTTTTCCTTTACGTGAGCCACGCATGCTAAGAGCTCTGCTATGCACTGCTATCCTCGTTTTTCTCGCGGATCGCCGAGAGTCTCGGATCCCTTTTCCTCTTCACCACCTTACGAGGATCCTCAAAAAACCTAGCGGTTGATCAGGTTGGGTTCCTTACACAGTGACCAAATGTGGTTCAAAGGGGCTAGTTAACTTGAGCAAAGCCGCGCCGCGTTGTATATTTTGGGCATTTGCTGAAGGTGCCACCTGTGCATACAAGCTGAATGTGATCGTCATGAGTCCTCAGATTTTCTGTTTTGGAAGGACCCAACATTGTAGCATTGTAGTCTCATGGCATATTTTTGAAGGGGCTTTCGTGGTGCCATGTTTAGTTTGGACATATATGGCAGCTCTTGATCGACCTGTCAGCTGTTTGCCACTCCAAACGCATGAAGTTGAAAAAGGGTCTCGACCATGACGTATCAGCAGGCACCATCATGTCGGTCTGCTGCCTCTTTGCCAAGCCTTTCGCCTTTTCCGGGCTCCGCAAACCGGTCACAGCAAGCATAGCGATTGCGACAGCGGCCTCATAAACTCATGGGCTCATTTCGGGGGGGGGGGGGGTACAAGGCGGGCAAAGCTTCATTCTTTTGTTTCCTGCGTGTCGGGTGAGCTATATGGAACCGCTTGCCGAGTGGGGAGGTCGCCAGGTTACAAGGAGCTTTCAGTTTACGTCTTGAAGTGGAGAACTCTCAAGCATGTTTTTTCCCACATGTGTACCCTATGGGATTG